TACCGAACATCGTTACACTAGCACTCAAACTATCCAGAAAAGCTTGCAACTTACCTGAATCTTCACTTGGTAGCACAATCTCGTCTGCATACTCTAGATCAGACAGTCTGCAACCTGGGAGCAAGTCGATTTCTCTTTCCTCGCATGAGGAGAGGGCTGCCTAAAGAATGAAATCTATAACAAAGTTAAACAGAAAAGGAGAGAGAGGGCAACCCTGTCGAGCACCACTTTCCGTGGTGAACTCGGGTGAAAAACTGCCGTAAGCCCGAACTCGGCTTCGGCTATTATTATAAAGGGATCGTAATATTGAAATAAACTTCTCGGGCACACCCTTCAGGGAAAAGCAGCGCCAGGGTTTTGAGCGGTCGACTGAGTCGAAAGCCGCTTTCAGATAGAGGAAGATAGAAATTGTAGGCCTACGAAAGCGGTGTCTGTGTTCTAGAATTTGACGAAGAGTGAAGATGTGATCGATACAACTTCGACTAGGTCTAAAGCCAGCCTGGTTCTCACGCGTGCACCATTCGTGTGCGGCAGACAACAAACGGAGTATATCAACAACAAGAAGCAATGTTGATTAGACTAACTCCTCTGTGGTTTTCCCACGTATGGAGGTCACGTGAAATTAAACCTTCGACAAATGCTGTAACGAAGAGATCGATGCTCATGTAAGAATATATTTTGAATTGCATCCGAAAAACGTAAACGAAACTGGTAAAACACTAACCACTTTTGGTAAGCTCATTGAACGAGAACGATTTAAATGTTCGGGCGGCAAACCCAGGCGCTGGAGAGACAGGAAACAGATTAGTAGTGATGGGAACATCCCCAGTTGGTTGCACAGTTTGGCTGAGCAGTCGTTCGGTGACTCCGGTCTGGGATGCGCTTAGTCGAGATGTAGTTTTTGCGCCCACATTAGACAGTAGAGGCAACCAAGCTCTCCACCACACCACCGGTTCCAGGGTGGATCCAACAGAGCCAATCTTCGATTTGCGAGATTTGGACCAGGGCCAACGAGGACGACAGCGGCGTTTTGAACGCCCAGAGCTGGATGAAACGCCAACAGCTGACTTATGTCTCATTCGTGAAAAACAGGAAACATGAAACAACTCGGAGACCAAGAGACGTAACTGCTGTCCGAACTGTTCTCCAGTTACAGAGCATGGAAAAAGAGTGGCATAGAGACTGACGTTGGATGGTAGACGACTGAGAAAGAAGCAGAGCGACACTTGCAGGGCCCAGAATGCGGAGAAGAGATAGTGATACGGATTTCCAGTCTGAGGAACAATTAAAAATAGAGACTAGATCATCCGATGACTGACAAAACCCACAAAAGAAAATATATATTTGGCCAAATGCAAACTTGGACAGATTCATAGCAGTGATGACTAAACCATGAATAGAATTGGGAGTTGGTTCCCACGATTTAACATAATTTGTCTATAAGGAGTTTCCATTTAAAATGCATTTATTTCAAACTCGCTTAAACGCTTGTTTGAAAAACATGAGATAATGATACTGGGCAACTAAATAAAGCGAACAATCATAAGGATAAAATATAACGAGCGATGTACGTTTTTTGATACAAGCAAAAGTGATAAACCATTCATATATTTGAGTTATACCAACTAAGGTATCTAATTAACAGTGGAATGAGTCTTACTCAGACGACAAATGAACAATCAAAAAGGAATAAAGAACGTTAATGACACTCGTCGCTTCGTTGTGCAAGGGCAAACCACTATGACGCTTCTTGAGCTAGGATTGCCAATTGTCCGTGACAGACAGTGGTAGACAGGAGGACTGAACATACGCATCGTGCTAAGTTCACTTACAGGCGGACTGCTCATTGGACCTAGTCATTGTCCACGTGCTATTGCTATCAGGACCAAGCAATGCTTTCCAGATCAATATGATCGAACGAGAGAAAACTCCTAGATCTCAGCCATTAGACCATGGGCTAGGATTTTGTATCCATATTCTTTAAACCAAGCAGAAATCGTGACGGCATCACGTGTTAACGAATAGTGATCTGATGCTCTTCGCGGGCAATGCCATCTTCTCGCTAGTACCAACATCAATCACCATGTTGTTTCCGCAACGTTCAGTTATTATCTGTATAAAATGAATGAAGACGCAGAGTTCCATCGATCTTGGAGAAGCGTTTAACACTCAAGGTGCAGAAAAGCGCATGCCGGAACACGCTGAACACACGGTGACTCGGTGCCGTTAACACTGCTTACACATTTCCACTGAATGAAAAAACTACAATGGGTAGGCAATAATAGTCCTTAGGCGGAACTCTGATCGACCGGGCTTCATCTAGGATGACGAAGAGAGAGAGGTTCTGAGGGGACGAAAGTCCGATTGCGACAAATATTACACAATGAATGATCATATTTATTGACATAATACAGTAAACATGAATACTGAAGGTTACAACTCAAACTTCATCTAACGCTAGGAAAACACGATCAAAAGTGTTCTATTTTATCGATTTGTTATTATCAATGGAGGATAGAGATGAGATGAAAAGAGGCAGATAAATTCACTGTCGCCCGGCTCAACAGCACACCTATGATGGTGGGACCTGATGTGGCGCGCCACTCCGCAACCCGACGTTCATGTCATCAGTTCCCATGAGAGAACAATAGGTCCCCATGACAATGAGATTTACCTCTACTACTGTTCATCACACAACAGCACTTAATGAAAGAACCCACTGAAAACCACGGACAGTAGTATTAAAGCAAGCTCAAGGGGTTTATTGTGGCGAGACAAAAGGAGAGTGAAATAGTGGAAATGATAATGTATGTGAGGGGGCAATGCAATTGACGATGAAACAGAAGGGTGATTTAGTAATGAGTATCTAGGATAGGATATATGTTCTTTGAAAAAAAAATTCCAAACGGGAATGCATTTCGGTCGAGGAAATATGTGGAAGGAGAGCGTTGCGTACGAATTTTGTTGTTAACCTACCATCAGAAAATTGCGTGCATATATGTACGGGATGGGATACAAAAACCGCACGAAAATGACAGCGGCTGAAACTCACTTCAATAGCAGCTAGACAGAACCAGAGACAAATTCCAAGCGCGATCAGGGCGCGTAAAAGGGAGAAGCAGACGGACGAAAGACTTGCAGCTCCTGTGTGAAGCGACACGAAACAACATACAAATAAGAATTAATCAGGAGAATAAATAATGATATGTATGTGAGTGACTGTATTATAAACATTATAAACAAGCATTATAAACAACGCGGAAAAAAAGAATGCAAAGGCCATACTTATTTTCGAAAATAAAGTTGACTAAGAACGAGCGATCCGTTTCACTGATACATCTAATTTTTAAGCGGGCGTTCATTGACCATCAAGAAAACCAACTTTTTTCTCCGTAATTAGCAACTCGAGAAGGAAAGCAGGGCACTGGTCAAATCGCTGTTCAATCACGTCAAGGGAATCGAAAAATTCATTCGCTTTAGGTGGACAGTTCGCCAACGATGTCAGCAATAGTGTATTTTGCCAATGCACTAACAAACATGTACAATAACCTAGCGGGGCCTTATGTGATTCTCCATTCCAACTCCTGTGGCTTGGGTTGTCGGTTTTCATAACTGAACATCATCAGATCCTCGTGACTCTGGGGTTTACCCCGTCTGATGTTCATCACGCTAACATGTGTAATACAAAATGGCTACCGGAAAAGAGAATTACCATCGAACGAGAGAAACTGCTATGACATCTCAGTTGCAAAACTGGTGTGCTAGAACGAATTTACTATCGCTGTAGTAGTGAGTTTGATTGATGTCGGTAACCGATTTCTAGAAGGCTTCAGTAGGGTAAATTTTGGAATGGGCCCCACTTCGCTATAACCGCTACGAATACAAATAATGAGAAACAAAGAACATCAAACAAGGACATAACAAGAAGTATGAAGTTCACATAGTTGTGACATAATATGATCGATGAAGGTGCCTACTGAGTGCTATTCAAAAGATTAATAAGTTGAAACATATGCAGATGTCCAGGTGTGTGTGCATGAGAGAGAGAGAACACTTACCACTGCCCCCGAAAACATGTATGTCCACTTGTTCCAACATGTAGGTGAGTGCCGTGTCTATCTGCGGAACCATACCGACCAGAAACAGCAGGGGGAATATGACTAACAGACGCGCGGTCACGATGTGAACAAAATGGGCCAACTTGCTGAGTGACCACAACGATCCGTATAGTNGGAAGAGATGGCAACGTTCGGATCTTGGTGGTCGGTTCGCGATCTGACAACAGATGGACGAGCAATCCGATATGCATAGTGTTCCGAAATATCCATTAGTCGATAGGGTATAGAATTGAGCGGGAGCAGGGCTGAGTCAGTCAAGAACAAAGTTCGATCAATCAGACTAAGCTCACCCGTGTGCAACTCGGCCGGGGAGAGAAAAAAAGTGGATCGCAGTTTGAATGTATTGAAGGTGTTAGATTCCTGCAGTCGCACGGTCAGAATGAAAGCCAATGCGAGTAAACAGAAAAAAGTGGCTCGTGAGTAAACGATTACTCGATTGAACCCGTGTTGTGGAGAGGCAGCATCGGGTTGGACACTTTTAATTAGAGAATAGTGTGAACCGGCGATGGCAAAGCACAGAGAGAGTACACTCAGATCCCGATAGACACCGGTTTGGAGGACGGATAGACCAGCCAATCCGACCAGAAGTGAAAGGATCACACTCAACACAGGTTCATATACGGATCGATTTCTGCGTAAAAATAGGGAAAACAATAGAAAAACGCAGCAGTAAGTCACGCCTAGTTTTAGTCACACACACATACACAATAGCGTGATCAACAGTGAAGGGCGTGGAACGCACATTCACGACTATTCATAGTTCGGTTGAGGGGAATGAAGTACGTTTATTCCTCAAAGTGCACCACTGTCCGAAACCCAGTTCAAACAACGTTAAACACAGCTCCTTTTACTTCTTACTTATCTTGCAGCAACAAAGGCGAGAGTCGTTTCGGAAAAAGAAACTAGATCAATTTGAATAACAAGATCCCCTTTAACTCAATAACTTTTCCCATTAGTTTTATTCAACGATGTCCAGTTTGAACGTGGGTTCTTTAAACAGAAGAATGTTTTGGATCTGATGGCCTCTTTACTAGACGAATGCTACCAGTTCCATATATAAGCACATAAAAAAAGCATATGAACGAATCACTTTTAGTAGATTTTCGGATGGAATGAATCAAATCTAAACATCATTCAAAGGATCATTTATCTTCTCCACAAAATGGGGACCTATCCGCGTGCGAACAGGAGATAAAAAACGATATGCGAAATGCTGTACATGCGATGGAAATGTTTGTGATGACCGACAAAGAGCATTGGACAACTGTTTTCGTCCTGTTTGGGACACGTCAGCAGTTCGTACTTTTAGTGTCCCTGTCAGGACTCTAACCGCGAACACTCGAGTCGGGACTTAAAACCTTTACCCTTAGGCTACACGGTCGACGGTCATCAACTTGTGCGAATGACTCAATCAACTTAGAGTATCAACTTCGGATAAGCCCATTCGATTGTTCAGAGGCACCAGGCACTATTGATGGTCTTGGGTGTGGGTTTCACTACTTGGTTGCACAGTTGAATCTCGTGCAAAACAAGGCCGAAGGCGAAGAAGGAAAAGAGATACGACGGTGAACAGAGATTCAGTGGACGCATCGAACTACTCCTACCCGAGTGACGGTGATTCCGTGCGAACAATCTTGTGTTTCAGTGCTCGGGAATGGGTCGCTTCGAAAACCGGTTATTGAATGGTTAGAATAACAAACATACAAATGGGAAAATTAAATGAGTACACGGGGGATGAATGAAAGTCGGCCGCGTCTGATAGTCCCAATCAGAAAAGCGAACAGTGATGATGAATAAATATTCATACACAACCTTTCGGTTCTAAGATGCAAACGACCACCGTGTGACAAGAGCCAACGGGTTCGGAAGGTATATGAACCCGAAATTTTACAACAGAATTTCGTTGTCATTGTTGTTATTCGCCTAAGCTTCCTTTAATTTTCCTCGTTCTCATTCTGGAATTTGATGCTTGAATGGATTTATTGATTGTTTCTCATTGCCTTACAATTCGTGTAATTTGATCCGGGTGGCAAGGTATAAAAACATTGGATTTTGTTTGACTAAAGAACATAGAAAAATGCAAATCGGAGGAAGGGAATTAACAGAACCTATACTGGATGCGGCGAAGGAACAGTTTTATTCATGAACAGACGCTCAGCGGTTAACAGGTGGAGAAATATTCGTCAAATATAGTCAAGTTTGTTAGGAGAAGCATACACGGACAAACACAATGCTGGTCATGCATCGTTTCGCCTACACGACCCATATGAGCGTGCCACATTCATGATCTTACACTTGGGTTCAACTCTGTCCAAATACCGGTTCAACTGGGTTCCCATGTGAACTGTTATAAAGGAGAACCGAAATCGGAACACTGTTTCGCCTCGTAAATGACAGTTTGTTTTGACTTATTGGTAGACAGCCGAAAGCATCCGAAAGCCTTAGTATGGTCCGTGTGGGTGTCTGGGGTTGTGACTGGTCACTATTCCCTTACACCTCGCGAAATGCTCCAATATAATCAAGCGTCTCAAATAGCCTCTGCTGAGGAAGCCCTACTCACTGCCTTCTCGTAGCGGAGGTGTTTCCCACCAAAGTGAGAGAACGAAAAGCCGACAGCCGGAGNGGGTTGGTAAACCATTGGCCGTTCACCTAAGGGAATTGGATAAAAACACTGATTCCAAACCAACCACGAAGAGACGTAAGAACCATACGCACACCGTCCTGGTCGCGGCAGTGATCACCGGCTCGATTGGGCACCCTGGGCGTTTGACCTCGTTCAAAGGGCGTAAGATTCAGTGAGCTGGACACCAGCCCCCAATGGGCTGCGTACTCTGGGCTCCGTTCTGTTGTCTTGCAGGTCTGGCTCTCTAACCAAAGTCTTCGGGTGGGGACCCCGAGACCATCTCCCTTCCTCGGCCAGGGCAATCGGGAAGTAACACGCCCACACAGCCTATGAACACATTCTTCAGATTTCTTTCTGTTCATATGTTGTGGCACATTTGCCAGTTCTCTGTAATTGGTTTCGTGTTGAAATAATTAAATAACAAAGACAGTGTCAAATGTACACCAAGGGATGGGTGATCGAAAACGGTTGAGTGACTATCTGTTGCTCGTGAAATTTACATCGATTAAAGAAAGAATTGTTGGAAGTAAAGGAAAAATCAATAGATTAAGAGTTGGAAAGTGTTAACATCTCACTGAGGCCACATACTAAGCAGCAAAAGTGTTTTTATCACAACATCTATTACAAACGTCAATGCCACATCTTATGCCAATGTCGGTAAGATAAAGTAGCATGTCATGAGGTTATGCTTTAGTCTTACTTAATTCTCACCTGTCAAACAGTGCGTCAAGTTGAAGCCGATCGATGCACAATCGAACTGTGATGGGTAGTAGGGGAAAAGGGCGAACCACATAGATCTGCTTCATCTGTGTTCTATTGCGTGTGTGACGGCTGAATGGTCGAGGTCGCAGGAATGGCCGGCTCTGTGGGTAGCTGCGGCCAACACGAATGGACGAACGGGTACCCGCTGAATCTGACAGGTGTGAGTTGAAGAAAGGAAAAATAGAATGGACATCTACGCTTCACACAAATCGGTCTCGCTGACAGAGCCGTGAAAACGTAACGACATATAACAGCTCGACGTGGAAGACAGGGTAGCCTGACCAACAGACAGCACGTGGTTCAAACCAAGGAATTAATTCAAAGAACGGAACCACCAGATTCATAGGTGTCAAATCCAGACGCAGTTGTTCCAGAAAATAGCCAAAACAATGCATTCCGTAATACACACAGAAGGGTAACCACATACACATACATTCCATCGATTGAAACAAGAGGGTAGTTCACCGGAACACCAGCACCAACACCATCGGCAGCAACAGCCGCAGCAGTAGCAGCGCCAAACAAATCTATACGCAAACGCAAACGCACACATACACACACACAAACACACGAGGGTATAATAAAGAATCGATCGAGTGGTTGATACAAACGTGCCTAATGCAAATCCATGCGAGA